TGGCTTGTAGATGCAGCACTCCAATCTTTGCAAAAATTATAAATTTAAAATTCAGTCCCTCGGCTGTCCTAACCACATATGGCCAATGGCTAAAGAGTAAGAAATGCAGATATAGGACCATCACAGAAAGTTTTGTTGGATAACATCGAGAGGCCATGAGCTTATCATTTCATAAAATGTGAAGAATACTATCCTGCCAAGAGGCTCTGATCCTGGCTCAATTAGCCTAAGCAATTCTGGGTCCTAAATCCCCTGCCTTCATATTAGAATGGAATACTTCGAGTCTCTAAAACTCGATCCCCTGTATCAGATGGATCTGAGTTTGAATCCCAGTTTTGCCACTTTTTAGCTGTGTGACATGAACAATTCTGTTAACTTTGAATCTCAGCTTTCTCATTTAATAAATAGGAATAACAGAACTCCTTAGTACTGCCATGAAAATGAAATGAGATCATGCATGTAAGCCTTCACACAAATAAAGCTTCAACAAATGAGAGCTAGGGTAATTATTATTTTTCAAAGTTGAGAGAAGTCCTGTTTAACTTTGTTTGGTCTACATTTCCCAAACTTACTACTATAACTTACCCCCCAAGAATGTTTACACTCTCATCCCAGGAACCTGTGCATGCATGACCTTTCATGGCAAGAGAAACTTTGCAGACGTGGTTTAAATAAAGACTTTGAGATGGGGCGGTCATCCTGATTATCCAAGTGGGCCCAAAACAATCACAAGAGTCACTTATAAATTCTGTATCCTAAGCCCCCTGCCTAACAGATTAGGAATACTTGGAAACCCTAGGACTCAGGCTACATAAGAGGCAGGCAGGAGGGTCAGAGCCAGAAATGTGATGCTGGAAGCAGAAGCCACAGAGAGGACACTCGAGAACGGCCAGGGGGCTGGATGGGGTCAGACCCACAGGGGTTTCCATTCCAAATCTATCATCTACTCGCTTAGTGACCCTCAGACCCACAGGCACGCTACTTTGTTTCTCTATGCCTCAGTATCACCATCTGTAAATAGGGGACAGTAATTGCACCCCTCTCCTAGAGTTGTCATGAGGACAACTGCCTGAAACGGTTAGCACAGAGGCTGGAGCTTAGGGTTCACTTGGGAAATGCTTGTCATCATTATTAACCCTTCTCCGGAACTAAGCTGCAGGGTCAACTTTGCCCAGTCCTGGTAAGAGATCACACTTGACTCTGCTTTTATCACTTAAAAGCTTGGCCACCAGTGTGCTTTATCTGGTTCTTGTGAAGATTAAACTAGCTGAGGTTCCTGGTAGCTTAAATATAAGGCAGAAATTTTTTTTAAATGCTTCCAGCTCAGATTTTCCATTGTCCCGACTTCCAGCTCCACCTCCTGCAGCATCACTGTGGGAGGAGTGTCTGTCAGGGAAGCAGGCTGAGCCCCGCGGGGGGCTCATTGGTGGGCTGCTGCTCTGCGGCAGGCTCTTAGCAGGATGTGGAGGGGGGAAGGATTTTTTGGAAGCCCATTTCCAAGCCAGGAAAGCAGGCATCAGAAGCCGCGAATTCTGTGTCCCAGCATTCTGGTTCTCCCTTTCGCCCGGCACCGTTCTGGTCCTTCCAGGCCCTTCTGTCTCTCTCCCTTTCTCCATGAATCTTCTTTTTAATACATCTTAGGATAGAATGTCCACGCTGCTGGAGGCTCCCTAGCATTCTTAGAGCAGGGAAATCTGCTCTTCACCTTTTGTCCTTTCCAGGTAACTCCTTTCTTGAAAACAGTTTGATTGCAGCGTAAAGTCCACTCATTGTAAGTGTTTGATTCAAGGCATTTAGTCAGTTTACAGTTGGGCGGCCACCCCCATTCCATTTTAGAACATTTTTATCAACCCCCAAAATATCCTTGTGCCCATTTGCAGTCATTCCCCTTTCCCGCTCCAACCCCGCTGTTCTACCTCTTATTTCTAGAGGTTTGCCTTTTCTAAATGTTTTGTATAAGCCAAATCTAGCAGTATGCGGTTTTGTGTCTGGGTGCTTTCGCTTAGCATGGGGGTTTTGAGGCTCACCCTTATCATAGCATTCATCACTCCTTTTCATGGCTGAACATCACTCCACTATATGAGCATAGCCTCTTGTTTATCCGTTCACCAGCTAATAAACATTTGGGTTGCTACCAGTATTTTGGAAAGGAGCAAGTTGTTTCCAGTTTTCATCTCAGAAATTCTTAGTTTTGTTTTATTGTAATGCTCCATCCACCTCATCCATAGCTTGTCTCCCCAAAATCCATTCTACCAAACAGGAAAAAGTTCAAATAATAGGCGACTCCCCAGAATAAATAAAAATAAGGAAACCTGACAAATGTTCATTACATGTACAAAGTTCAACCTTCTAGTCCTCAACCTAACACTTTGCCCCTAGTTGGAACACCAGGGGACTCTTCCCTGAGTCAAATCCAAGGGATTTGTGAAGTACCACATGACTGTTTCCTTTCCCTCAATTGTCTATTAAGAATCAAACTTCCATGATATTAAAACCTTCTTGAGCCACTTAGCTTTTGTCTTATATGAGGGGGGACACCCCAAAAATAATTATTTTCTGGAGGGCAGGCCCCTTGTAGTATAGGCTTCTCCAGCTAGGTGTTCTAGGAACCCATCAGCATCAGGGTACCAGCTAGTGTTGTTGTGTGACTGCATTCGGCCTCAGTGGCTTGGGCTTTTTTTTTTGGACATTCTTTCAGCATATTTGCCTATTTCATGAGGGTGATTTATGAGCTCACCTGTCCACACCACGCTGAAGTACCACATGCTGAGTGTTCAGCAGTTTTTGACCAAAACCAGTCTGATCCCCATGCCCCACCCTCCCTATTCACCCGATCTCACCCCAAGCAAGTTTTTGTTTGCTAGATGAAAAAAGTCCTCGAAGGGAAACATTTTGTCCATGTGGAAGAGGCGAAGCAAAAAACAGCAGAAGCACTAAAAGGCATCAAAATTGATGAGCTCAAAAACTGTTTTGGCAGTGGGAAAAGCATCTCAATAGGTGTATTGCATCGAATGGAGAGTACTTTGAAGGTGACTGAAGATGAGGCATGTAAGAATACACAATTTTAAAATAAATTCTGGGGTAATTGTCCCTCCCCACCACCCTCCATACATCTTCAAGAGACTTGATCATGAGGATCCCATAAGCCATGGTAGAGAAGTGCTTGTTTTCTGGTCCTAAACTGACCTCTTCCACATCCATCAGGTAGAACTACCTCTATGTAGTCTATAATTTGCTGTCGTTCGAGGTGTTACTCTGCCTCTTCCCACACCTTCTCCCCGCCAAGGTGGTGTGGCCTCTTCGGTCCCAGAAGGGGTGCTGTTGAGACTCAAGGGTGTTTCACTATCAGCAATGGTAACGGGGAGTTAGCACGCCTGGCTGGGACATCTGCTTCCCAGAGGAAAGGGATGGAAGCAAGGAAGTCCAGCATCACTGATGGCTTTCCCAACAGCTGAATGGGTCAGTACTCATCACTGAGTTTGGGGCTTTGAGGGATATTTTTTTTTTTTTTGAGTTGGAGTCTCATGCTGTCGCCCAGACTGGAGTGCAGTGGCACGCTTCCGGCCACCGCGGCCTCAACCTGCTGGGCTCTGGCAATCCTTCTACCTCAGCCTTCCCAGTAGCTGGAACTACAGGTGCGCGCTACCACACCGGGCTAATTTTTTGATTTATTGTAGAGATGAGGTCTCGCCAAGTTGCCCAGGCGGGTCTCGCACCCACGGGCTCAGGCAATCCACTCACCTCGGCCTCCCAAAGCGCCAGATTACAGGCTGAGCCACCGAGCCCGGCTGCTTTGAGGGATTTTTAAATGTCAGAACTTTCCTTTCCTGGGACAAACTGGTGAACGCAGTCAATCCCAGAATCCCAGCTCAGCACTTCCTCTCCCTGCTGGAAAGCACTTCTGACCCAGACACTCAACCCTACAAACCCCTTTCTCTGAACAATTAGGGCTCCTCTGATCCCCTCCAGAGTACTCCTGCCTATGACAACAGTTCAAGACTAGTTCTACAATTACTTGATCTGAGAATTTTTTTCTCAACTTTAAAATATCCTTTTTTTTTAGCATCGCTTGAATGTCTTCCACATAGAAATTGTTGATGCTTCTTTTACTTCTCTTGTCTCAGTACACCCTTTAGGAAAGCTCTCTGAAGAGAAGTTTAACTCATCTTTTGGTTGCCTTTATCACCATCACCTGTTAAAGTCTTTTAATCTGCAAAGCAGCTCTAACTCAGAGCTCTAAAATTGCCTCTCAAAACTCACAATAGACTAAACTTGGATTTTTAGATTAGATAATTAGATTCTTTTTAACAGGACTTCTTTCCAACACTTCTCCTTATCCAGCTGTGTTTTGCTCTCACCAGCTGTTGACGGGGCTAAGGGGGTGGTGAGGGCTGGGCAAGAGGAGGAAGCTCCTCTCTGCAGAGGGGGTGGCAAGCTGCGGTGGTCCTATTTACAACTGGTTCTCAAAGCATGGTCTCCCAACCCACAGCACCAAACTCCCATGAGTTCTCATTAGAAATGCAGGCACTTGGGCCCTACCTCCCCCAGCCCTGCTGGACAGGCCATCCAGGGCTTCGGATGTGCGCTTCCATCTCGAGGATGTGGCTCCGATGTGGCGTTCACGAGATACAGGTTGCTGGCAAGATTCTAAAACAGTTGGTTGAAAATAATTGCCTTGACTGGCTCTAGTGACCCCCCCAGGAGAATGCCCCCCTCCCGTGCATGTCCACCTCATTCATCATTTATGGGTGTCTCTGAGGCTCTGCGAGGCTGCCGGTCAGGGTGGGATTTGCTAATGAGCAGCAGCCTGGCTGTCCTGCAGGTACCTGCGTGTGCAGTTGAGGACAGCCCAAGGGAGCCCTCCCAGGACATAAGCAGGGGTGGGCCCTGAGGTGTCACCTGACACTGACGACAGTATTTGCTGTGCTGAAGAGCCAGGGCAAAGACAAGCCTACGCCAGAAGCCAGCTTCTGTGAGGAGGACTGGATGGAAAAGCTGGCAGCAGCCTTTGCAGACCCGGACTCCAGCACCATGAACGTGTCCTTCGACCATCTCCACTTTGCCGGAGGGTACCTGCCCTCGGACTCCCAGGACTGGAGAGCTGTGATCCCGGCTCTCTTAGTGGCTGTCTGCCTGGTGGGCTTTGTGGGAAACCTGTGTGTGAGTGGCATCCTCCTTCACAGTGCGTGCAGAGGAAAGCCATCCATGATCCATTCTCTGATCCTGAACCTCAGTTTGGCTGACCTCTCCCTCCTGTTGTATTCTGCACCCGTCCGAGCTGCAGCGTACTCCAGAGGCGTCTGGGATCTCGGCTGGTTTGTCTGCAAGTCCTCCGACTGGTTCACCCACACGTGCATGGCAGCCAAGAGCCTGACGATCGTTGCGATGGCCAAAGTGTGCTTCATGTATGCGAGTGAGCCCACCACGCAGGCGAATGTCCACAGCTGCACCATCGGGTCGGTGCTGGTAGCCATCTGGGCTGTGGCCAGCCTGCTGCCCCTGCCCGAATGGTTTTTTAGCACCACCAGGCACCACGCAGGTGGAGAAATGTGCCTTCTGGATGTACCAGCTGTGGCCAAAGAGTTCATGTCTTTGTTTGGTAAGCTATTCCCTCTCCTGGTGTTCTGCCTTCCATTGTTCCTGGCTGGCTTTTATTTCTGGAAGGCTTATGGTCAATGCAGAAAAAGAGGAACCAAGACTCAAAACCTGAGGAACCAGATCCGTTCCAAGCGTCTCACAGTGATGTCACTGAGCATCACAGTGACCTCCGCTGTTCTGTGGCTACCCGAGTGGGCAGCCTGGCTGTGGGCATGGCACCTGCAGGCTGGAGACCCAGCCCCACCACAAGGCTTCAGAGCCCTGTCTCAAGTCCTCATGTTTTCCGTCTCTGCAGCAAACCCTCTCATTTTTCTTGTGATGTCAGAGGAGTTCAAGGAGGGCTTGAAAGGCTTGTGGAAATGGATGATAACCAAAACACCCCCAGCAGTCTCAGAGCCTCAAGAAACACCAGCTGGTAACTCAGAGTTCCTTCCTGCCAAGGCTCCATCTCCAGAGCCCCCAACATCAACACCAGAGAGGGAGAAATCCAGCTCTCCCTCCTCCAGCAAGGGGAAGATGGAGAAGGCAGAGATTCCCATCCTTCCTGATGTAGAGCAGTTTTGGCATGAGAGGGACGTGGTCCATTCCATACAAGACAACGACCCTATCCCCTGGGAACATGAAGATCAAGAGACAGGGGGTTGTGATACACAGATTTAAATTTCAAAGCAAAGCACGTTATAATTATTGTATTACTTGTACTGCTGCTTAACAATACTGCTGACTTTACCATGTAATATAGGATAAAATTATGACTATTAGGAATTACAGAAATGCTTCACATTCTACATTTTCAAAATGTGCAGTGTGGTAAGTAGAGCACTGTGTTAGGAGTTAATACTTGTTTTGGAATTAAAACCGGCTGTCCAAAGAATTCATTTAAGGGTTGGGTAAAGATGCTGCTGTCAATGACTGGAGAGCCAAGTTCTTCTGCCACTTGTTCACAATGGCTTTGTGACTGCGTACCCTTTAGGTCCAGCCCTGTGATTAACAGGCTGGAGCCTGGAGTGGCTCTGCCAAAGGCTGAGCCCCTCTGCCTTCTGTTTCTTCCTGGACCTGCTGGTCCTTACCGCATCTATTAAATTGGATTTCACATAACCAAAACTCAAAGGCTACATCCACTTGAGGTTTTTCTTCAATACATTAATGACAAATTTTAATGAGTTGTCTTCATGTGCCTAGTAATTATTAATTTACTTTATGAAAATCTATATAATTTTCATGACCAAAGGTTACAGAATAAGAAACACCACCTTATCCCAACTCTGGGCTAATTTCAAGTTAGTTATTTTTGGCTAAGTTTAAATAAATTCAAACTTTGCCTTATACTAAAGCTTGCTTCAGTGATCTTTTAAAAGACACCTAAATGAGTCTTCAGTTTCTAAGTCTGAGAATTTTCTCAGCCTACCCGTGACATTCTATATTCTACTATGGAAAAAAACAAAACTTTAAAAAATGTCCTTCCAAGATGCAGAAGGTGGTTATTCTTCTATTAGCAGAAATGTGTTCCTCCCAGTATCTTCTTTCTACCAAGATGAACTATAAGCCATTATTAGTGATCTAGGCTTCAACTACTGATTAAAAGCAAGTCTTCAAATATAATGAAGGGATAGAGACAGTGGTCTTGTTAACGGTTATTAAACTTGCCCATATCTTTGAAAATGACCTCTGCTCAAACTTTTAAACCACCAAAAGGATTTTTAAGTTATAATGATAATAAAGAGTAACATGAAAGAGAAAAAGATATTAGTATCAAAGAGACACTTCAACAAATACAAGGCAGAATTTGGCTAAGAGAAAACTAAAAACATAAGGGTAATGCAGAAAGACAAGCAGTAAAATTAAATTTTGTCTTCCCAAGCATATGGTAAAATTTGTTTAATAGGCAATAACTGTTCATTTTATAGCAAGGCAAAATACACCCAATAAAACATAGTGATTATGATACATTTCTTCCTCTTTCAATATAATTAGGACATTTATCTATCATTCTTAAGTACTTTGTTATAGAACTCTCCAAGGTATTTTCACTGAAAGGTTCCCTCAGAATAAAAATGCCTTTAGGGCAAACAATAGAGAATCTGAAATGCAAAAAATGTTATGAAAAAAAAGAATTGTTTTGTTTATGTTCAGTCTGTGGGTTTCTGGATTTTGTTTTTGTTTTTTTACAAATGGTCACAGTTTGCTTATTAACACAGAAGGTAGGACTGTTTTATTTTTACTTCATTACAAATTTTATTTGAAGCTCATGCAAATATAGTTTAACCCAAGAATCCAAAATATTGTTTTGTGATCTGGCAGTTAGACAGGGATGACCATTAAAACTGTCTGTGATGAACTAATTGAATTAATTACTCTTATGTTTATTTTATATATATAATAAATGTAGAATGTAAGTTTCTGATGTTTGATCCTTAACTTGTAATGAAATAAAAATAATGTTTTACTTCACATAGTTTTAAGAGGCTTAAAGCTGTGTTTGTCTTGAATTATCATTTCAAAATTATTTGGAACAATGGGGCCCAATGGGAGAGGTCTGACCTTAACCTTGGCACAAGTCTCAGGGTGAGCTGATTTTTTAATGATTTTGCCGATAAGCACCAAATCAAGATGCAGGCACTAGAACCAAGTGTAATTATAATGAACCTTTCATTAAGAACCTGGCACGCAATATTCTGACTTGATTCCTCAAAAAATCTGCAGAAAAAAAGTGATTTGCACCTTATATGAACAATTAAGACCAGATACTTGAAGAAAACAGTAGGAAACTAGAACAGACGCCACCAAACCAATGGGCAAACAACAGTATGCAGAATTCAGCATAATAAAATAAGGCATTCTAGAAATCTCACCTTTGCAAGACAGTCATATTCTATAATAAGCGGGTTTCTTTTGGAGAGCATTTCAATCTCACTCCTCATAAACAAAGTAATATGAACATGAACGTGTGTGTTTGTGACTGTGTATACAAAACATACAAACAAATCTGTTGGTATTCCCTGTTTCTAGGTTTTGCTGCACAGTAGATATGAGATAACAGGGAAAACAAGTTATTCTACTAACATATATTTCCTTAAGCATTTTATTTATGTCGTACTCTGAAACTAACAACCTAGGAAGGGATAAAATAAAAGGACTTCTAAAAACTGGAGACATAAAACTTGGGAATAAGCGTCATGGGTGTGGTGCACATGACATGTTGAATGGATCCCAAAAAGGCACACACCACCTATGCTTAGATAAAAGACAAAAACAAGAAAATAAAAAACCCCCAGGCCTTCTTGCTATGAAGCAACGAGGTACTGCTAAGGGACTTGAGCACCAAAATGATTCTCTACAACTTCCTTCCCTTTTACACGGAAAATACTGTATTATTATTTGCAAGTCTTTAAAAACTATATAATATTTAAGATTTAAAACCAACTTTCTTGTGTCAAATTACAGTTGCTGTTTCTTTAAAAAACAGAATTAAAACCTTTTATAAATTATATAATAATTATCATATATAATACACATATATAAAAAGGGTTGGTTTATTGTAGTTCAAATACATAAACTGAACATTCAAACATCTTAAAATTAAACTTTAGAAACAAAAGTTTGACATTCAAACAGGAGTACTGTTTACAGGGAACACCCAGAAGAGTAATTTGTTGTCTAATCCAGAATATTGATAAAGATCACTTAATGTGAAGAAAATATGTTGAACCAGTGGTTCTCTGTGGCCAGCATGTTAGTTATGACCATGGGTCCACACCTGAGAAGTCACTACATGATCTTCTCTTAGGCTAAACACCAAAAACTGGTCTATAATTCCAAGGGGATAATCAAAGCACAGAAGTGAATTAATGAAACTAAACTGTTCTTTAGAGACAAAGGTAAAAGTATTGTCCATTATAACAATCTTAGCCTCTGGAAGATAATTCAATTTTCAGTGTTTTCTCTTTTACCCGCTTTTAAAAAAAATCAGAACAAAACAAACCCCGACTTAGGTTTTCTTGGAGTCTGTGGTATTTCCATCTGGCAAGTTCAAACCACAAATGCTCTTGCTTCTTGCACGTATAACACTGCTAGAAAGAACATCACCAAGTCACTGACTTCCACGTCTCATATAAGGATGATTTTTAGCTTCAAGATTTTAGATTTACTAGAGACAGCCTATATTTGAGTATGTATGTCAGTCATGCCACACAAAGAAAAGCATAAATATTTCCAAAGTGTTCTGTCCAGAAACTGTTCACGAATGCTTCTCCTTCTGTTCGTCAAGATGGTTTTGCAATAGGTTGACTAATGCACATATATGTAAAAACCTGAAAGTTGGCTCATGCAAGCGTTCTGAATTAATAGATATCCCTGTGGAAGAGTATTTAGAATTATTTTGTTGATCGTCTCGTGGGCTCTGACGCTGTGGGGGGTGGGGGTGGTCCCCGGCGATCCAGGTCATCGACATATGCTACGATCAGCTTACGCCTCTCTTCTGGCACACAGTCCAGTACTAGATACCGTTTGTCATTCTGCAAAATTTTCTCTACATCTTTCAGGTGCTGATCAGATTCCTGGATTAGCTTTTTAGATCTGAAATAAGAAAGAGAAGTCCAAGAATTACTTATGGCTGTTCATACGTCTTTCAGAAATGAGCTGGAAATGTCCATCTAGTTCCTATTTGTGTTTCCATTTTTTTTTTTTTTTTAAGAAAAATGTCACTGCAGTGGTCACCTCTGTAAGTCACCTCAGCAAAGACTCCAAGGAGCGAAAGGGCCTCAGAAGCTGAATTACCCTCCCACCCCTCTGGTGGTCCCTCCAGATCAGGGCTGAGGGTGGGTGGGTAGCCTTGCCCGTGCTGTACCTGTTCTGTGGATGGACAGAGGACTTCAGTCTGCGGGGCTGCCAATCCCAGCATCTTTCACAAGCTTTCACTTTCACATCTTTCACTAAATTAACTATAAAAATGTAGAAAGAAGTCTTACTTCACATCTAATTTAAAAGCCCAAGCTGATGCAAAACATTAAGGATCCTGACCAAAAAATCCAAATGACAAAATATCTAAAAACCACACCCTCAGCACTATCTATCCTCCCGTGCACATACCCTTCATTAAGATGTTTCAGTTTTTTCTTTTAAAGGAAGAAAAGCTGGAGCATGAAACAAAAATGGTTTCCTGCATACTGACTGGTAAGCAATGCAAAACTGTTTTCCTGATGGTAAACTGTTGGGGGTGGAGCACTGTTTGGTATACTACCAAGACATCTTCTTTTAAGGCTCTGACTTTGTAATTCACAATTTTTATTTAACTATATCCAGCAAAATGCTTTCCTCTAAGAAAAAAATGTTTTTGCTGAGCTTAAATAGATCATTTCAAGCTTTAGAATAATCACTGGATAGACTTCAGAGGAGGCAAAGATAACGAATAGTGAAGGATTATTTTTAAAAGTCTCTGCATGAAATACAATTCTTAAATAGTTGAGGGTATGCCTAAAAAAGCAGTGAAGTGAAAACAAAGGTATGTTTTAAAAATAGGATGGGTGGGTAACACAAAATAAGAATTGACATCTGGGCCCTTTCTTTGAAAAAAAAAAAAAAAGTATGGTAGATATGGGCTATATTTGGCTTTGAATAAAAGTTGGCACCTTCTTATCCCTAAAAATTAATCATGTCAACATGTGTGTGAATGCAAAGTATGCTCTGGTCATTAGAGTAAAGACTAGTAAAAGACAATGACTGCCAGTATGAAACATTTCAGTACACACACCTATATGTTATAAATTTGGTCTCTTTCAAAAGCGTCCTGAAGTCAGCTTTGGCTGTGATGTATTTGTCTCTGATATATTCTTCAAACTCTCTCTGCTTTTTCTGCAACAACAAAAAGGTAAGATTAGGAAAAAATTCCTACTAATTCCAAAATAAACATCATTTATTAAACTAGCAACCTGGAAGTCACATAATAAAATTAAAAATCCAAAAGAAAAAACAGAAGGGTACATTTTTGTCCATATAAAATTTATTAAAATGCATTATCTGCAATGTACATTTTTAAGGCAGAAAGAAAGCAAGAATGAGCACATTATGTATTCGTGTGGCTAAAACTTGAGGATGTGCCATGTATGTACTATACTGCTAAGATCATATTCTTCAATCTTCATAACAGCCTTGCATCTTAAAAAATAAGAAAAGTAAGGGTTAACTGTTCACTTCCTACAGACTGTATTTATACCTTCAAGCACAAAAACACTAATGTGTTATACTTTATGAATGCACCAGCTATAAGATCAACACTCAGAACTTAATACTGAGCATTCAGCTTTCTGCTAAGGTAATAATAATGAGGGGTATAAACTCTATGGGCCTAAAAAAGATCTTCTTATCAATTCTAAACAGTCAGAAATGTTAGAAACTTGAGACTGGGTCTCCCTCCCAGCTATCAGTCTACCACTCTTTTCCAGCCATGTATATTTTGTGGTTTACACATCTAAAATCTAACTTACTAGAGTTTGAAAAGGGGAAGAATATCAATTTATGGGTTTTTAGATGTCAGACCTAGAGAAACCAACTAGGAAAGGGGAATGATGAAATAAGAAAACAAAAGAAATGCCAAGGGATAAAATGAAACGTGGTAAGCTACACTTTTCTCAACATCATTCACTATTTCAGACTTTAGATGAATCTGTTTCCTAGAAAGGAGTCAGAATACACAAGATCAGGCTCAGCTTTTATAAACCTCATGTATCTGAGAGGCTCTTCTACTGTCAAGTTTGTAAGTATATGAGAACAAGGGATCTCATAACGATGCTCTATTAGTGTGGCTAATGAGGCAGGTGCACTGATAGTGTGGCACCATTTGCCAGCCTGAGTGTGTTTGTCTAGTGAGAGCTGACTATAAAATAATAAAAACTGTAGCTTCATTAAATCTCTAAGAGCTCAAATCACAAGCGTAAACTCAAGGATTACAATTTTAAACTATCTATTGTGCTTTCATGTTAATATGCCATACAAGAAACAAAAATATGAACTTAAAATTCAGACTCATTTCTCGTCATATACTTAAAAGCGATTCACTTGAAACCAGAAACTTCTTTTTGGTCAAGACATTACTTCCGCTGACTAACCACCCAATTAATATTCATAAACTGACAGTGAATCCCAGACACAAAATCCACTCACCCTGTCACTGGAGGAGAACTTAATACACCGAGGATCTTCTTTAATAATTTTTTTTACTTCTTTCCACGTGGATGTCAAGGTAATCTTTGAAAAGACATGTAAATAAAAAACATAAATACAACTCACTTTTATTTAGGGGGTCAAACTGCAGCACATATGGTACATAATATTACACACTGACCTGCGATCTCTTGTAATGCCCAAGCGTAACTGGACTAGTTAGGGACAGGGAAGCAGCGTTAATGCAATTTCTTTTTGTTGGCTTGCCACAAGAGTTATTTTCATGGCCATACTTTCAAGGTGGCCTAAGACAATCACCTGCAAACCCTGTATTTACATGGGCAAACATCATAACTTCTGAAGAAACCATCACCAAAAAGAGAGCAGATAAACAGGAACAAAACCTGGATAACAAAGTGTACAAACTGCCAAACAAGGGGCCACAGTACCAAATTGAAAATGGAGCAAAGAAGAAATTTACTAGATCTGTTATCAGGAGGGATCACTGACCACATACAGCTAAGGACATTCTGAATTACCATAGTAAAGTTATGAATTTGAAAACTGCAAAGAAAAGTAATTTCTAAATAAGAATGCCATAACATTTATAAAATAAAATCAGAGAAGAAAGTGTCATAAAATGTATTCTAGTAATTGATCTAAAGACCATGACACTAAAAATCATATCAATTTTCCCTTGGAATTATTAACAGCAATTCATTCAGATTAAAACAAGAAAAATAAGAGACTCTTACCGCAGATGTTTCATCCAGAAGTTGCCTAAAGTGCTCCCTCTTCTTTTTGGTAAGTGCTTCAATGTGTTCATTAAAAAGCTTCTCTTTTTCCTCTCTTTCCAATAAGGATCCAGATTCCCAGCGGTGGTCTTTTCGGAGGGTCCTACGAGTATCAGACCATGACACATCTGAAGAACGTACCTAGAAAAAAGAGAACTATATAACACCAAAGAGACTTATCTGTTCATCTCAATCAGCTCAATTATTTAGCTTAGAAATGACAAGTCTGGCTTATTTTTAAAAGGTGGTGTCATTCATAAACCAAGAAATAACTTCTTGAAAAATAAATGTATTCTGACTAGACTATATCATAAATGAATACTGTATCAAAATGCCATGTAAAAAGAACTTACAGCAAGCTAGTAAGTTCAAGACACTAGAATATTATCATGTTGATCAACAACTAAGCAAGGTGTATTTCCAATAATCTAAAAAAGAAGCTTCTGGTGACTCCACCTTAGTTATTAAGAAGTTACTAAAAATCTGCTTTAAGGCAGAAATCTTACCTCAATGCTCACTTAAGTCATAAAACCTGGGTTAAGAGATAAGACAGGTAGGGAAAGATGAAGAGACGCTATCTCTCATCAGTCATGATTTCTAAGAACTTCACAGATTGAGCATCTATCCCTTAATCCCAAATGCTTTTTTTTTTTTACATTTTAGAAAAACCACATATACATAATAAAATATCTTAGGGACAGGACACAAGTCCAAACATGAAATTCATTTATGTTTCATATATACCTTATACACATAACCTGAAGGTAATTTTATACAATATTTTAAAAATTTTATGCATGAAACAAAATTTGTGTTATCATATTTATGTGTGGAATTTTCTACTTGTAGCATCATGTCAGTTCTCAAAAAATTTCAGATTTTGGAGTATCTTGGATTCAGGATTTTCGAAATAGGTATGTCATCAATCTGTAGTACTTAGGTACTTACTCAAGTACTTAACATTTTATGACCTTCTAGTAGAAGTGGATAGGAATAAAAGAAAAACATATTTTTGTCTGCTTACAGTACTAAGCAACTCAGCAAAACAAAAGCAAAACAAATCTTGTGCTCAAATTTGAACTTATCAACTACATACTGAAGTGATACAAGCATAAGCAAGATTAACAGTCAAGAACACAAGATAGCAGATGCAAGAATGATTCAACATATGCAAATCAATAAAGGTGATACACCACCATTAACAAAATGGAGGATAAAACCTTATGACCACCTCCATGGATGCAGAAAAAGCATTTAACAAAATTCAGTACACTTTCATCATAAAAACTCTCAACAAGTTAGACAGAGAGAGAATGTAACTCAACACAATAAAGGGTATATATATGACAAACTCATAGCTAATCTCATACCCTACAGTGAAAAGTTGAATGCGTTCCAAATCAGTGGTTCATCGCTTTTTTTCAACGTAGTACCAGAAATCCTAGCCAGAGCAATTAGGCAAGAGAAAGAAATAAAAGACATCCTGATAGAAATGGAAGAAGTGAAATTATCTCTATTTGCTGATGACACAATCTAATATACAGAAAACCCTAAGACTTCACAACCAAATTGACATACAAAAATGAGTAGTGTTTCCATATAGTAATAATAAACTATCCAAGAAGAAAATTAAAGAAACAATATCATTTATAACAGCAACAAAATAAATAAAAATACTTAGGTATAAATTTAACCAAAAAGTGAAAAACATATATTAAAAACTATAAAACACCGATGAGAGAAAATGAAGAAAACACAAATAAAAGAAATGATATCCTGCGTTATAGGCCAGAAGTATATTGTTACAATGTTCACACTACCCAAAGCAATCTACAGATACAATGCAATCTCTATTAAAAGTCCAAGTGGCCGGGCTTGGTGGCTCAGTCTGTAAACCCAGCATTTTGGGAGGCCGAGGCGAGTGGATTGCCAGAACCCACAGGTTCGAGATCTGCCCGGGCAACTAGACAAGACCTCGTCTCTACAAGAAATAAAAAATAAAATAAAATAAAATAACCGGGCGTGGTAGCGCGCGCCTGTAGTTCCAGCTACTTGGAAGGCTGAGGAGGAAGAATTGCCAGAGCCCAGCAGGTCGAGGCTGTGGTGGCCGGGAACATGCCACTGCACTCCAGTCTGGGTGACAGTGAGACTCCAACTCAAAAAAAAAAACAAAAAATTCCAAGGTCACTTTTCACATAAAAAGAAAAAACAATACTTAAATTTGTATGTAGCCACAAAAGACCCCAAAGAGTCAAAACAATCTTGAGAAAAAGAACAAAGTAGGAGGCACAACAGTCCCTGATTTCAAAATATATCATAAAGTGATTATAATCAAAACAGCACAGTACTGGCATAAAAACAGAAACCTATGTTAGCAGGACAAAAAGTACAGATATCAACCCACACAGTCATGGCCAACTGATTTTTGGCAAAGCTGCTAAGAATACACAATGGGAAAACAGTGTTCAATAAACAGTGTTGGATTCAGTGTGGTGGTTCATGCCTGTAATCCCAGCACTTTGGGAGGCCAAGGCAGGAGGACTGCTGCAGCCCAGGAATTTGAGACCAGCCTTCAACAACATAGTGCAAACTCGTCTCTACCAAAAAAAAAAAGTCAGGCATGGTGGTGTGTGAAAATAGTTCCAGCTGCTCAGGAGGCTGAGGCAGAAGGATCACCTGAGGCCAAGTGTTTAAAGATGTGGTGAGCCGTGAGTGCCACTATACTCCAGCCTGCCTGGACAAGAGTGAGATCCCAATTCAAAATTAAAAAATAAAAAGTGTTGGGAAAACTGGTTAGTCAAAGAATAAAATTGGATCCTTATCTCACACCATACACTATCCCTCCAAAAAAAACCAACTCAAAATAGATAAAAGACTTAAATATAAGAGCCGAAAAATATAAAACTACTAGTAGAAATCATAGGGGACAAGCTCCATGACTTTAGACTGGGTAATAATATTTTTGAATATTACCCCAAAAGTACAGGCAACAAAAGCAAAAATGAACAAATGAGATTACAACAAATTTAAAAGGTTCTGTACAGCAAAGGATACAAGTAACAAAATGAAGAGACAACATACAGGACAGATAGTATTTGCAAACTATATACTGGATAAGGGGTTAATATCCAAAATATATAAGGAATTCAACTCAGCAGCAAGAAAACAACAACAAAAAAATCCAATTAAAAAATGGGCAAAGGACCTGAACAGACATTTCTCAAAAGAAAATATACAAATGACCAACAGGTACATGAAAATGTTCAGCATTACTAATCATTAGGGAAATGCAAATTAAAACCACAATGAGCTATCACTTCATCCCTGTTAGAATGGGTACTATAAAAAAGATGAAAGGTAAGTGTTAGCCAAAATGCGGAGAAAAGGAAACTTATATATTCGTGGGAATGTAAATTAGTACAGCCATTATGAAAAACAGTATGGACCCTCAAAAACTCATGGCATTACCATGTTCATTGCAGCACTGTTTATAACAGCCAAGAAATGGAATCAACCTAAGTGCCCAACAACAGATGAGTGGATAAAGAAAATGTGATATGTATACACAATGGAATATTGTTCAGCCTTTAAAAATAAGGAAATTCCATCATTTGCAACAGTGAGGATGAACCTAGAGGATAATATAAAAATGAAACAAGGCAGGCACAGAAACATAAATATGCCTAATCTCATATATGGAATCTTAAAAAGTTTAACTCATAGAAACAGAGTAGAATGATGGTCACAGGAAGCTAGTGGGTAGGGAGAAGGAGGAGGGATGGAATGAGGAACCAGTCAAAGGGTGCAACATTTCAGATAGACAAAAGAAATATGTTTTGAGATCTACTGCATAGCAGGGTGACTAAATCGTTAATACTGAATATTCAAAATAACTAACAGAAAAATTTCTAATGTCTCACCAAATAAATGATAAGTAAACAAGGTGATGAATATGTTAATCAGCCTTGGCTTAATCACTCTGTATATCAAAACATCAACTGTATCCTGTAAGTGTATAAAATTATGAGTTGTCAATTAAAATAATTTCAAAAAAGAAGAATTCAAAGTAACAGAAGACAGGTTTGGCTGACTCACCAACCAGCAGAAAGGTTCATGCCATTGCTGGTAATGACATTAAAAGTTAAGTCACAGTTCTACCAATGTGAAGAAATATGGAAGATTAAAAAGACAGAAAGAGGGCTGGGCTCGGTGGTTCAGCCTGCAATCCTGCTCTTTGGGAGGCCGAGGTGAGTGGATTGCCTAAGCCCGTGGGTTGGAGACCTGCCTGGACAACTTGGCGAGACCTCATCTCTACAATAAATCAAAAAATTAGCTGGGCGTGGTAGCGCACGCCTGTAGTTCCAGCTACTTGGAAGACTGAGTGTAAGGATCGCCAGAGCCCAGCAGGTCGAGGCTGCGGTGGCCGGGAGTGTGCCACTGCACTCCAGTCTGGGCGACAGAGTGAGATTTCAACTCAAAAAAAAAGATGTGCAATTGAAATTACTTTAAAAAAAAAAAAGACAAAAAGATAAGAAAAAAGAAAAATATACGTATTTTATCAGCACTTATCTGCACCTAAACATATCAGGTAAATACTATGCTTGGCAATAAGACTACAAAATAAGTAAGATGTTGCCCCTTCCTTCAAAGAGCTCCCTTTTTTTAAAAAGCAGACAGACATGTAAGCAAATAATTGCAAAACATGTAACAAGTGCTACAGAGGTATATAATGAGCCATAAGGTGGTCAAGATCAGATTTCCTAGATGGGTCAAGAGCAGACTCACAGAAGAGACTTGAATGCACCCTTGAAGAAAGAGAAAGCTCGTCACTGCAGTGAACAGTTTTGACGTATTCTAGGTGGAGGGGTTGCCATGAGCAAGGGTGGGATGAATGGTTCATTAAGCAGGCTCAGCAAGGCTGTGTAACTCGGGAAAAGGTCGTACGGAGGAGGGGCGTCAAGGAACCAACAATGATTTTATGCTAAGGAGACTGAGTCAGAAGGCAACTGCTGTACAGAGAAACTTTACTCCCTGCACGTAACCAGGACAGTGAGAAAATCAGATGTGCTGATGAAGATTTCTATGATTACAATGAAGCAGATAAATTTGAGGGAATGTCAGAGATAGGGAGAGAAACTAGGAAAGTACTGTCATTATTATTATCCAGAGTATAAAAACAGGAGCAGAGGCAAGGGAAGAAATCAGAAGCCACAGGAGTAAGGAGAGGAGCCCACTGAAAGAGAAGGGAAACAGTGTACGAGAGATGGAAACAGAGAAGGCAAAAAAGAAATTAAGTAGGATAGCATAGCAGCCTGTGAGTATCCCGTGTAGGGGAAAAATAAACAACCCTACATATACCTCAACAACCCTGAAGGGTAAAGGAGAAAGATTTTTAAGAAAATTTCACAGTATCTCCTGGGGTCAGTACACCTCAAGTCTTACATACATTTCATACCACTGACATGAACAATGATAACTAACTGATCATCACAGCGATGATCCTAAATCATCAAGAAAAAGGTTAAATTCTGTTCAGCACACTTTGTTTATTATTATGGTGGGCAAGGTGTAACAGTTTAAGATGACTTTCATCAAGAACAATAAAAAATAAAGTTTTGAGATCGAAAGATTATGCTTTTGTGTATGTGTAAAACATCTAACTTCTGAATTTGTTAAATAACTAGGGTTTTCTCCTATATTAATAGTGCTAATACCAAGTATCCAATTTTAAATGTTTTACAAATAAATTACCAAACTGTCTCTCTCAGAGTCGATTTAAAAAACATTAAAATGTTCATAACAGGGTAATAAAATAAATTTCTAATATCTGCTTTGGAGAAAAAAGGGAAATGATTAATATATACCATGTCAGACAGAAGAGCCTTGAAATTCTGGATAGCTTCTTCTCGCTTGTGCTGCTCTCTCTCTCGATCTATTTCCTTCGTTTGTTCTGAACGAGCTTTTTGAACCTCTCTCTCTCGTTCTCGAAGGCTTGCCTCAATGCGGGCTTGCCTTTCAAGCTCTTTTTCTTTTTCTGAGTCTAAATTCTGCAAAAGTAAAATTGCATTATCCTTCTTATCAACTCCATCAAAATATTTTCACAGAAAAACAAGCCTGCCAAATAAATTCCACATCTAATTTTTACCAAGAATATACTTAAATACTGTATACCTTACCTCCAAATCAACTAGAGATATTTATGTTAAGAATACCAGCAAGAAAAATTCCGAACCCCCCACAAAAACATTTCCCAATAGCAACAAATACCCTTAAACACAATTAGGAATTTTATTCTTCAATGATAATAGGACAAGTAAACACAATGGTTGGTTACCTTGGCTATTTTTTCAATGTACTGCTTGAAAAGGTCTTCCCTCAATGATGAACTATCCACTGCTTTGTAACGTGGATCACTTTCTACTTTATCTTTTACCTTGCTCCACCGAGACTGACTGTCCAAGTGATGATTAGATAATAGTTCAAAGAAATCCGATTTAATCTATATTTTAAAACAGGTAGTGGGATGGGGAGAAAATAATGTACCGTGAGAAATTTCTTATCTATTTACACCGAAGAAAAAAGATCACTTACCTTAAATATAAGAATAGTAGCTTTTAAAATGCACTTATTAAGAATAGAATAAATCTTAGTAAATGAGAATATCAGAAGTGCTCTTTTATTAGAAATATAAACATCAATAAGCATATATATATGTGTGTGTATATATATATAGGCTCTCACCTAAAATCTGCCAAATGCAAGATAAATCATATTTTGTACAGAAATTATTCAAATATTTTTAAAAAACTATTTCAGGTTGTTTACAACTTTTGGTCTCAGAAGTGCCATGTTTTCATAGGAAATATAAATTTGCACTAAGCTGCATTTATTTTTAGCTAAGACTCAGACTTATGAACTGAGAATAAATGGCTTAACATTAAGATGAAAAAAATAATTTATTTTTAAAACTAAAATTTTTGTTCATTAAAATTAATAAGGTATTTAGGAATCGATGAGCACAAGTAGCATGTAATTACAAACTTACATTGTCAATGTCTAAAACCAAAATAGCACAAAAACTTATACTTCGGCAGTTCTAACTTGATATCTATGTAACAAAACTATAAAATTTCTATGTTGGTCATAATTAATCATTACTAAAAAAAAACAAAACAAACATTCATATCCTCTATACTTTTTAGCATTAAACATGTATGCTTTTACCATTAGAAAACTTGTAAGTGTTTATCAAATATTATACTTAGCAACTGAAGTACCAAGTTAGTAACATTATAACAAAGGTATTAAATAATATTAATCCTTCAGTATTAACATATACAATTACTTAAAATTCCTCTCCAAAACTGTATGTCTTTTATTTAAATAGAGGAAGAAAGAAGTAAATATTTGTTTTTATGCACCTCTGAGGACCTAATTACTTTAAAATTTACTCTCATTTCTATTACTTTGTACTACCACAGAAGACACCTCAGGCTGCCAAGGTCATTTCAACAAAGGATTCTGACCATGTTAAGGACCCCTTCCTACCACAGGAATTAAATATGGCATCTTCTCACCTGACCAGGGGAATGAGAAATTAAGAATGGAAACAGAATTTAAGATGTGTACACACAAAAATAAATGAATCATTCCTTCTGCCTATTCCAATCCTATCTCTTCTTCCTACAGCCTCATATCTCCTACTAGAGTATTAAAATGGAGGTTGAGGCTCTTTCTTGGAAAACACTTGTAAGGTTATTAGAAACAGAATTTCTGCATCAGAAATTTTTTATAAAGACAAGAGCTAATCGACTGTGATTTTCCCCACTACTAAACACGGTTCTTTACTGAGTTTGGATTAATGAGAAACACTCATAAACCTGTCATTTCGAGACAGTAAGAGATCACCTGATGTAGTGATGTAACGTAATTTTTCTGCTCATTTGGTCTACTTGTATCTGACATTATGAACACCAAATTCCTAGATGCATGTGGTAACTAAGGCAAAATTTATAAAAGTCATGTTACATAAATCATGCAAGTTGTATCAAATAGGAATCTTTCTAAGCCACAGGAATTTATATTAACTTAAGATTGAGTTTTCAAATATTAGATACGAAGCCTATAAAGTAAGGAGTATCATATAGCTTTAAAAATGTGTGATGTGCCGGGCTCGGTGGCTCAGCCTGTAATCCCAGCACTTTGGGAGACCAAGGTGAGTGGACTGCCTGAGCCCGTGGGTTTGAGACCCACCTGGGCAACTTGGCGAGACCTCATCTCTACAATAAATCAAAAATTAGCTGGGCGTGGTAGCGCGCACCTGTAGTTCCAGCTACTCAGAAGGCTGAGGTGGAAGGATTGCCGGAACCCAGCAGGTGAGGCCACGGTGGCTGGGAGAGGCCACTGCACTCCAGCCTGGGCAACAGAGTGAGATCCCAACTCAAAAAAAAAAAAAAAAAGTGTGATGTTTAAAAAAAGTGAACTTTAAATAAAATTAAACTTTAACCTCCTTTCATTGTGGATATTGCCATGACAGGTTATAAATGGCTTACTGAGGCTGCTATCTATATAAGAATTATCTGACAGTTGCATAAATGTTAAAAAATGTCATTTTCTTGCCTGAGCCCACGGGTTCGAGACCCGCCTGGGCAGCGAGACCTCACCTCTACAATAAGTCAAAAAAATCAGCCGGGCGCGGTAGTGCATGCCTGTAATTCCGGCTGCTTGGAAGGCTGAGGCGGAAGGATCGCCGGAGCCCAGCAGGTCGAGGCTGCGGTGGCTGGGAGTGAACCACTGCACTCCAGTCTGGGCAACAGAGTGAGACTCCAACATAAAAAATAAAAAAGTAAAAATAAATAAAAAAATAAAACGGACAAAAGTTTTTCTGCGAAAAAGCGGCAGGAAGAAAACATCGCCACAGGTTTTTTTAAACAGGCCAGCTCGGTGTTCTCAGCCTATAATCCCGCGCCTTTGGGAGGCTGAGGTGAATGGATTGCCTGAGCTCGCGGGTTCGACACCCACGTGGGCAACTTGGCGAGACCTCATCTCTACAATAAATCAAAAAATCAGCCGGGCCTGGTAGCGCGTGCCTGTAGTTCCAGGTACTCGGAAGGCTGAGGCAGAAGGATCGCCGGAGCCCAGCAGGTTGAGGCTGCGGTGGCTGGGAGCGGCCCCTGCACTCCAGTCTGGGCGACGGAGTGAGACTTCAACTCAAAAAAAAAAAAAGTCATTTTCCATTAGCTGCAATTTGAGGCCCTGCTAATCCCTATTTTCTTCCCTTACTATAACACAAGTACTTAATTTGTTCAGCAAAAAAACTGAGAGAGGGAAGAAAAAAAAATGTCAACTTCATAACAGAGGACTAACTCTCATTAGGTTCAACTTCAAATATGCTGTTCCAAAAAAGGTAAATTTTTTTTTTTGAGACAGGGTCTCACTCTATTGCTCAGCCTGGAGTACAGTGGCATGATTCCAGCTCACTGAAGCCTTGAACTCCTGGGCTCAAGGAATCCTCCCACTCTAGTCTTCTGAGTAGCTGGGGCTCTACGTGCGCACCATCACACCCAGTTAATTTTTTAATTTTTTGTAGACATGGAGTCTCACAGTGTTGTCCAGGTTGATCTCGAACTCCTGGGATCAAGTGATTCTCCTGCCTCAGCCTCTCAAAGTGCTGGGATTACAGGAATCAGCTACCATGCCAAGTCAGTATTTGGAACAATTTTATAAAAATTGGTTAAATAAGTAAATTATCCAAAAAAAAAAAAAGACAACAGCTGATTTAGCAAAGTAAGTACAAGTCTAGTTAAAAAAAAAAGTAGACTTTTAAGGGTTTTTAAAAATATAGAACGGAAAACTAGTGGTAAAAACTACATGAAAATGATGATTGTACCCTTTAAATTGAAAATGCTACCTAAGGGGAAAAACAATTCATGAGAAGTTTTAAACCTTGACTATTCAGCTATTGATTCAATTATCTCAATGCTACAAAGACCAGTTAAAGAATTACAAGAATAAGGAAATAAACTCTAGTACCACGCTACCGATACTAGTTTTGCAATTCAATTACAGTTATAGTGTGGCAAAAAAAAAAAAAAGCATACATGATGTGCTTTATAAGACAATTAATTATACACAATACAGTGGAAGTCAAAAAAGAAAAATAATAAGATTCCATTAACCAAATATGCTCAAAATGTGAATATAAAATCTACTATATATTTAAACCCTTACTTTATAGATTTCTGCTTTGATGATAGTCAGTAATTGATTTCGTATTCTTTAAACTGGCTGAGAAAGCTTCACTTAAGCAACTTCCTGCCTTTTTTAAAACTTAGTAATGACAAAACCAAACCTATAATTTAAAGAATTAAAATTTTACAATAAAAAGAAAATAGAGGTGAATATATCAGTTAATTTAGATGTCATGTCTATTTAATTTCATTTTTTAAATCACACATTCTGGGCACAACTCTCATCACTTCATAAGGAAAAAGACTAAAAAAATGTAAAGTACCGGAACTGCGGGAGGCTAAAGTCACCACACAGAGATACCAATTCTTTCCTCACTAGGGAATCCCATAATACTTTTGCGTGTCAGAGATTGACAGCTGTCACTGAACTGATTGACAGGCCGCACAGCACAAAATCGTAAAGTCTATCCACTTGTTATAAAACAGAATACATAAAACAGTTACAAAAAAGTGTGTTTAGAAAAAGAAAATCAGTTACAAATGCAAAGAGAAATACATTCAATTTGTACAAAGGCAATCATGACTCATCAGTCACCTATAAGGTTTTTCTTTAATCAAGTAAGTTATTCTAAAAGTCAAAAGTAGCAAACAATTCATTAACATGATTTTAATTCTACATAAAATTATGTAGTAGAGCATAATTTTGACATTTCCTCTGGAAGCATAATCATTTTTTTAAAAAAACCTTACAGTGAAATAATTTTGGAAAAATTTACCATGACACCAAATAAATCAGATAACCAGGAAGATTCAGATGTCTAGCAAAAGTTGTTTTACCTAACACTCTTACTATTTTAAATGAAAGAGGCTTTTTTCCAGAGTATTACTTCCAGAACATTTCTATTTTTTTTTTTTGAGTTGGAGTCTCACTGTCGCCTAGACTGGAGGGCAGAGGCCGCTCCCGGCCACCGCAGCCTCGACCTGCTGGGCTCCGGCAATCCTTCCGCTTCATTCTTAATAGAATTTATAATATGTAACTTTCAAAATAAGAAGTGATTTTAAATGTCAAGAATGATTAGGCTCCAAAGGTTATTTTTCTACATTCACAAAGCATATCAGGACACTAAGGAGAGTGGTTGCATGTTTTGATGGTTCACACACCACTGGTGTTATCTCCCTACTAGCCTGCCTCCCCAGTGGTGAGCTCCTCTCCACAACCGACACTGCTACCAAATGACATTTGGAATTCATTAATCTTTAATAGCTGACCTTTAATTCTGATAAGCAATAATTTATATGTAAGAAATGTTTACTAAAACATTAGAAAGTCACTAAATTGATATCTTCTAGAGGGCAAAAAAAAGATGAAGAAGTTCTTTGAAATTCAAATGTTACTACCCAAAAAGAATCTTGAAACCTTAGCAGGTACCACTGAGAAGGCAGTCCTAACAACCAGCTCTGGGTTTACCAGGCATCTTAGTATTAATACAACTTAAAGCAAAACTTTATAATTTGGTGAAGCTACTAAAATATGTAAAATGGAAGCAAAACAACAAAATACACACAAATACAAACAGTTTTAAAAGTAAATTTAAAAGAACAATCAGCGTAGGTTCTATTATTTATGCCCAGGAATGAGTTAAAAACACAGCATCGGCATAGTCCACACTGCCATCAATCACACCACTGGAACTAAAACCATCTTACCTTCTCACCTCTGGTCTTCGAATCTTCTTTCTCTTTCTTCCTTGCAGCTGCCACAAATTCATTAAACAAGGCTTCTCGGTCTTTCATTTTTTCAATTGCTTTGAATCTTGAATCTTTAGCATGCTTGGCTGCAAATTCACTAAAAGTAGCTCTGTAACAAAACGATAAGTGTGCTAACTCTGGTAGAGTTACTTCTGCTTGTAGAACAGTACAAGAAGATAACATTTTTTTCAGCAAAAATAATGCCAAAGAGACACTGGTTCCCAACATCTACCTAAACAGTGAACAATGAGCTACAGAAAGTTAAAAGGGCTTAGCAGGAGAATGTAGTTAACAATTTATATGCTATCAGCATAGAATTAGGTGGATATATATTTATTATAAGAAAGGTAAGAGATCAAAGTAAATAATTTGCAGGCTTCAAGAGACTGAAGAGCTCATCTATTTCCACCCTAAGATGAAGCTGAGTCCTGTTTCCAGTCATAATCAAGTTAACTCTAATTAGATTGGCTCTTTTTCCATAAACAACTATAAAACTGGGCAAAGTATATATATAACTGATTTCAAGGAGTAGAAAACAGGCAGTGCAAAACTAAAATGAGGCCAGGCACGGTGGCTTATGCCTATAAACCTAGCACTTTGAGAGGCCAAGGTGAGAGGATTGCCTGAGCCCAAGGGTTCAAGGCCAGCCTGGGCAACTTGGCTAGATCTCATCTCTACAATAAATCAAAAAAATTAGCTGGGCATGGTGGTATGTGCCTGTAGTTCCAGCTTTTTGGAAGACTAAGGCTGAAGGATCGCCTGAGCCCAGCAGGTCAAGGCTGTGATGGCCATGAGCGTGCCACTGCACTCTAGCCTGGGCGACAGAGTGAGACTTCAACTAAACCCCCCCGCCCTTGATCTTGGGACAATGTCCCCAGTTGCAGAAAGCCAGAGTAGTCCAAGAAGAGCACAATGGTCTTAATGAATTGCAGGTGGCAAAGACCAGAACTTGGGTGCTAAACTAGCAGAGGAGGAAACTATAAAAAAGAGGGTATCCCAGAAAAATCCCACTTAGGAATTCCCCACAGCCAAGACCAAGCTGTATCACAGCAGAAAAAGATCACTCTATACCAAGGTGCCACAGAATTAAGAGTGAAAAAGAGATTACAGAGATTCACAAGTGTTAAAGGGAGAAAAGTACTAGGCCAACGAAGTCCACAAAAAGTCTACAAGGGAGACAGAATTAGAAGGCTGAGACAAACATATTCTACTTTCAGAGGTCCACACTAACAAAACAAAATAAGCCAAAAATTAAGGTGGCAGTTGGTAATGGAACTGCCTACTAAAACAAAAACTCTTCAGTAAAAGATTAGACTCCAGAGTCTCTACATATTATCCATGGTGTCCAATATTCAATCAAAAATTACTTAACATACAAAGAAATATGTGATCCACAGGGAAATCAATTTTTTTAAGTCAATAGGAACTGAAGCCAAAATGTTTGGGTTTAAATTAGCCTGGCTACTTTAAAACAACTATTATAATTACACTCAAATAATTAAGGAAAAATAGGTTCAAAGAATCGGAAGCATGGTCTTAAAATGAGCAAATAGGAAGCTGCAGAAGAAATGGGGAAACTATTTTTAAAAACTTGAAACTAACTGAAAGCAAAAATTAACTAAAAAGCTTAACATGAGAGTAGAAAACAGAAAGTCAATTACTTAAAGTTATACTAGTAACAGCTATCTAATCAAAAGAAGAAACAGAAAAAAGACTATAGTGTGTGGGGTACAGTCTCAGAGATGTAAGATAATATCAAATATTTTAATATATATGTTATTAGAATCCCAGAAGAGAAAGGAGTAAATGAGGGCAGAAAAAATACTGGCCAAAAACTTCCCAACTTTGATTAAAGAAAAAAAAAAACCTAACAATCTTTTGTATCAGTATTATTCACAATATCAAATTTCATTAATTCAACATTTTTTACCTGGTATGAAAGATATGTAACTATAATAAAATAAAAATTTCTATTCTAGAAAAGGGGTCGTTATATAGTCCATTAAATCTACTTTCCTTTCATCACAAATTAAGCATCTTGTTTCACAAAGATAGAAAAAACAAGTACAGGTTGAGCATCCAAAATCTGAACATCTGAAATCAAAATGCTCCAAAATCCAAACATTCTTAGTGCCAATATGTTACTCAATTCAGATTTTTCAGATTTGGGACACTCGACTGGTAGGCAAATATTTCAAAATCAAGAAAGAAGAAAAAACAAAACTGAAATCTGAAACATTCTGGTTCCAAGCCTTTTGGATAAGGAATATTCAAACCTGCATTATTATAATTAAAGAATAAACTTTTTTAAAAAGTGTAAAATCAATGATCCATGTATAGAGTGATAAGTGAATAGGTAAAACATTTAATATTTTCTAGCAGAACAGACTCTAAAATCAAATTTGAGCATTACATTTCTGTGAAGATGCTTTCATAACTTTTTTTTTGTTTCCAGAGTCTCACTATCACCCAGGTTGAAGTGCAGGAGTGCAGTGGTATGGATCACGGCTACCATTGCCTTGACCTGCTGGACTCAGGTGATCCTTCTGCCTCAGCATCCCAAGTAAATGGGACTACAGGTGCATACCATCATGCCAGCCTAATTTTTTGATTTACTGTACAGATGAGGTCTCATCATGTTGCCCAGGCTGGTCTCAAACTCCTAGACTCAAACAATCCTGTCGCCTCGGCCTCCCAAAGTGGTATGATTACAGGCGTGAGCTACCACATCTGGCCTTTATTTCTTAACTGTGAAAAGCTCTACTTTAAAACAGACATGGTAAAAAAATCCTTTGGGGGACAATGGGTAATGGTTGGTATTAGGGGACAGGTAGAGAAGTATAGTGACCAGAAGCTGACTTTGGAAGTTATGCCAAATTTCCATTAAAAGAGACAGAAGAGACAGACACAATTAAGTAATTCTCCCCAAACACTCTTTCCTCTTAGACACAACTCCAGTCTCTATATTGACTAGCTCTATTAAAAAGTTTTGTAATCATGGTTTTTTTCCCAATTCAAAAAGACAAGTCAATACACAACAGTTCTTCACTTGTTTTCTTCTGTTTAATAAAAAATAGTACTGATCTACACACTAGAGTTAGATATATCAACAAAGCAATACAGGACAATGTTCCCAGCGTCTAATGGCTCTATTTTCGGAAGTGACTTGTATAGATCACTTCAAACTATTCTATCAGCCTGAAAAGAATACCAGTCAGATCTACAAAAAAGAAATCACTTTGGAGTCTCAATTATTCTCAGACCCATAATGAGACTCATTTGGAAATGAGCTGCAGATATCATAAGACTTCATCTATAAACATTTCAACATGCAACTCCTGAGAGTAGAGCCTTTTTCCTTTGTAAATACAATAGCCAAGAAAATGACTTCTAATATCCAATTCTTACTCAGATTTCCTCAACTGCCCCTCAAATACCTTTAATAGCCCAGGCTCATGATCTCACTTTTCTAATTAAAAAAAAAGCTCGCTGGGCTCGGTGGCTCAGCCTATAGTCCCGCGCCTTTGGGAGGCTGAGGTGAGTGGATTGCCTGAGCCCGCGGGTTCGAGACCCGCCTGGGCAACTTGGTGAGACCTCATCTCTACAATAAATCAAAAAAATTAGCCGGGCGTGGTAGCGCTCACCTGTAGTTCCAGCTACTTAGAAGGCTGAGGCAGAAGGATCGCCAGAGGCCAGCAGATCAAGGCTGCGGTGGCCAGGAGCATGCCACTTCACTCCAGTCTGGGCAACAGAGTGAGACTCCAACTCAAAAAAAAATTAAAAAATAAAAAAAAAAAGCTCAAGACCCCATTAGAAGCCTGAACCTCTATTGTTCCCTAAAAATATATTCTTCATAGCTACAAATAGTCTATAAGCTATATTGTCTAAAATTTATATTAATATCATAGATTACTCTAATTTTTTTTTTCTTTTTTTTTTGAGTTGGAGTCTCACTCTGTTGCCCAGACTGGAGTGAAGTGGCATGCTCCTGGCCACCGCAGCCTTGACCTGCTGGCCTCTGGCGATCCTTCTGCCTCAGCCTTCTAAGTAGCTGGAACTACAGGTGAGCGCTACCACGCCCGGCTAATTTTTTTGATTTATTGTAGAGATGAGGTCTCACCAAGTTGCCCAGGCGGGTCTCGAACCCATGGGGCTCAGGCAATTCACTCACCTCGGCCTCCCAAAGCGCAGGATTACAGGCTGAGCCACCGAGCCCGGCCGATTATTGTTATTTCAAACATATAATTGTAATACTAAACATATCCTCTCAAGCAACATCACTCTTCCCTACTTTCAAGAACAAAAATAACTACTGAAATAAGACGAAGAGTTCCATCTGCACAGGCGCAATGGCTCATGTCTGTAACCTAGCACTTTAGGAGGCCTCTGAGGTGGGGGGATGACTTGAGCCCAGGAGTTTGAAATCAGCCTGAGCAACAATGAGACCCTGTCTCAACAAAAACAAATGTTTTTTAGTGGCATTTAACCCAGAGACTCCATAGATTTAGAAATTCTCCATTTACAGAGAAATTCACAGCAACCTAATACCACTATTGTTACAACTAAGTCATGAGAGCATTTCTCCCTGCCTATACTATTTTGTATAGAACTGGAATAGAGTTGAAATCGCAGTTTCACTTGAGCAAGCTACCTTGTAAAATAAGTACTACATGAATACCTAAATCATATTAGCTGTTCCAAAAACTGAGTAAGATAGTATCTGTGTGAATAAGTAAAAAAAAAAAAAAAGAAAGAAAAAAGTATGCTTTAAGAGCACACAGGCATATAAAATGACCAATAATTGTTACTATTATAATGCTAGGCAAACAAGTTTAAAATATCTCATTTTCTTCAGCCCATTACATGTATTCAACACATTTTAACAATCAATTGAAAATGTCAAACAAAACCGATACTTAGAAGATGTTGAAACTGAAGTGGTCAACGGTTCTTCACCACTTCAATTCAATCAAAATAATGTTCCACTTCTGCGACTTATTATATATAAAACTTTACAAACACGGGGACAGATACCCTATCATTTATCAGTTTTTAGAGAAGAACTTCCATAGGGAAGGATCTAAATCAAAGGTATCCAGGTATCCTTAGAACACTTAGGATCCCTCTAAAGGACACATACTGAGAATAAAGATTACAAAGGTAGAAACCAATAAGCAAATAAGGTGCTTTTAATGTCTGATATCCAAAAGATATGTATGTTTTTTAATTTTAAAAAACTGATCTTAGGAGAAAATACATTTTGGTATTCGATGGAAATGAGCCACATACCTTGGATTAAACTTTGCTTCCTCCATCATTTTTTTGAAATCTTCCTTGGCTTGCATTATTTTATTTTTCTTTTCCCTGCGTTCTTCCTCTGCCCTGGTCTTTACATACTGATCAAACACCTATTACAAAAATCAGTTTGACTAGTCAGTTATTTATATAGGCAATTTAACTACCAAATTATCAAACCTATGAAAAAAATATGTAACCAATGTCTTTGTCCAAACTATAATGAGAAAAATATATTACTTATAGATAATCACACACAGATGATTAATTTTCATGTTAAAACTTCACTGAAATAGTACACAAGAATACAGGTCTGACAAGGCTTCCAGAATAAAAGAAAACAGCAAAAAGCTGCTTTATTTTTTCCCCTGATTACAAATTAAATATACGACCAGTAAAAACATTTCAAGAGATTTAGAAATGTATAAGAGAAAAATCAGATTTCTCCAAAATCCCTTCTAGAAAGAAACATCAATGGTATGGACTCTATAGTTTAATTTTATTTCTGTACTTCTCTTAAGACATAATTGTTTTCACCAAAATGTAATCATGCCTTATATCTATTCTCTAATTTCCTTCCAACTAATAATACATAGTCAAGATGATGAATTGCACATCAATATCTATTTCCTGCCTTCTTCAAACCCTATAAAACAACAGGTGAGAAACTTCTTTCTTTTTTAAGTCATAAATCAACAGGGACAATCAAGAAAAAGAACAATAGCAAGTGGGGGAGTTGGAAAGTAAGTAGACAAGTGAGAAAGGATGTGACAGCTATGAGAGCTGAACACATACAGAAATCAAGAAACATGGAACCAACTTTTTTTTAAAGTCAGAAACTTCTCAAACAGCTCAGGGATAGCACTAGATACCTATGGAAGAGAAGGGTGGGGTATAGCTATAGCAAGCACTTGATGAAAGGCTATTTAAGAAGTTAAGCTGCTAAATTCCCTCACTGACTTTATCTTTCTGGCAATGCCACTCCTGAACCCCAGTAAAGGCAAGTGGCTATTCTCTACAACAAAGAGTTGACAAACTATAGCCTATAGGTTTTCATACAGTGCAAGAATAATTTTTACATTTTTTAAGAGATAGGGGAATAATAGAGAATTTTATGACACATAAGTTAAATGAAATTCAAATCTCAGTGTCCATAAATAAAGTTTTATTTGAACAGTCATGCTTATCCCTTTACATATGTCTATGGGTGCTTCCACACTAAAACAGCAATTATAAACTTAAAACAGAGACAATACATCCCATACACAGCCTATAATACTAATTGTCTGACACTTTCTGTAAAAATGTACTGGCCCCTGCTCTGGAAGGTAAACCAGAGTGTCTGAACTGGGAGGACATGAATTGGGAATGAGACATGCAAGATTAACCAGTTACATACCAAATGCTAAGACAGTTCTTTCAGAATCGAAGTAGAAAGATCTGTGTCCTCCTCCAGCCAAGAGACTGGAAGCCCTGATCAGGAATCTGACTGTCCTAAAAAACAATGTTCCAGGGGATTCCCAGCATGCCAGCCTAAATCACCCTACAGTAGGTTTGTCAACTTTGATACTATTGACTTTTTAGGCCAGGCGTTCAGCAGCATCCCTGGCCTCTACCCACTAGATGCCAGCAGTACCCACTTCAGTTGTGACAATCAAAAATGTCTCCTGGGGGCAAAACTGCTCCTGACTGAGAACCACCACTCTTCATTAAAGCCCCAAATCACAAGGGCTCACCCAGATATGAACAGTGCCCAAGCAGCATTTTAGTGCTTCACCCCTATCAGTGAGAAGCCAGCGTCTACACATCAAAGGAAACTCTCCAACATGAAAAACAGAGCACCCCCTCCCCCAAAAAACTGAGTGGAACTAAAGATTAAACAGGAAAATGAAAATTCAAAAGATTCCTAAAGAACCTCACAGAGCTAAGACAATGTAACTATAAAACAATAACAAAAAACCTCAAAAAACAAAAAAGAACTCTTGTGAACTAAAAGACAAAAGAAGAAATAGAGTTGCTTGATAAAGGTGAGAAAATCATCCAGAAATTTTTTTTTTAAAAAGACAGACAAAGGTAATTAGCAGGAAAGAAAAGAAACTTTGAGAACCCATCAAGGAAGGCAAATTCTGTTCTAGAATGAAAAAAAAAAAAAACCCAGAAAACAGTTGGAAGCAAATTTTTAAAATTAACGTGACAGAATCCCCCCAAAATGAAAGACATGAGTTTCCACATTGAAAAGGCCACCCAAGTGCCCACCACAAAATGCCCTTTCACTAAGATACAAAATCACCATGACAATTCAGAACATTAAAGACTAAGAGAATTTATTTGAACAGTGCTCATCCGTTATACATGCTTATAAGAAAAAAAAAACAGATTCACATACAAAGAAACAGGTAACAGAATGGCTTCAAAAACAACACCAAAGCCTAGAAGCAGAGCAATGTTGTCAGCTAGACAAACATTTCCAACTAAAGGAATGATAAAGGTTTTTTTTTTCCAAACGTTAGGTCTCAAATTAATTTCCCCAGCGTGTCCTCTTAAGAAAGTACAAAAAGAATGGGATGCATCAAAAGGATTAAACTAAAAAAGGAAGAGACTTATGATGTTGGGAACAGATGCAAAAGTAAAACAAAAAAATGTCCTCTAAAATAACTCAGACACCTTCCAAGGTCAGTCCATATACATATCAATCAATCTTTAAACACTGTATAAAAATACTGTAATCCACCCCCCCACCATTCTGATTTCATGTCCCAATTTTTATTACCTATGATACAATACAATAAGATCTTTTAAGAGACAGGACACATTGACATAACTTTTATTACACTGTATTATTATAACTATTCTATTATTGTTGTTAATCTCTTATGGTGCCTAATTTGTAAGTTAAACTTTATCATGGGTATGTAGGAACAAAGCACAGTACCACATATAAAGGGTTTGACACTATTATCAGTTTCAGGCATCCCTTGGGGGTCCTGGAACATATGCCCCAAAAAGGAGAACTACTGTATCTACAATTATCTCACCAGTCTCCTGCTGGACATGTAAATCCTCTACAATACCCTCTAAATATAGTGTTGCAGTAAACCCGATGAAAGCATTTGCATGCTAAGAGAAGAGAGTTGTTTCCAACTCCTTCCTCAATATATACTTTCTTACTTATGAAAGTATTAAATAAAATCTAAAATCCAAGGGAATTTATCCTTTCTTGTGAGAAGCTAGAAAGAACTTCATATCCCCTCCTCTGGGATATCCCAGACCAGAGTTAAGAATCACTCTCTGAGGTGAACATCCAGAAAATTATGGGTTGTTATGCTTCCAAGGTGGTCCTAATCACTTGTGTCATGCTTCCCGATACACTTGGCTTTATGTTCCCTATTTTAAGTGACTATTTTCTTATAACTTTAACTCATGAACAAAATGTTATAATAAATACTATCAAAATGAGCAAGTTTTAGAAATAATTCCTAGATAAGTTCACTGCTTAGTTTGGGTATAAGCAAAAATATACATTAAAAGGTTATATTGTATAAGCCGTCATGGCAGCTTCTATGGTGCTGGGAATATTCAATTTTTTTCATCAAAATAATTACATGGTACATTCATTGTCTTTTCTATATGCATATTTTTCTTAACATATAATTTTACTAAAATTGCGGGGTCTCCAATATTTGAGTCTCATATCAATTTATAATTTGACATCGATTCAGTCAACAGTGGCCTAGATGGCGAAGTGACAATACTAAATGACTATGTTGGTAATATAGTACACCATATTGTAACAGTCAATATTGAAAAGTTATAAATAGCACACAATATATTTAAATGTTTATGTTTTGCTAAGGTTCAAGAGCAGGCTTTTTTTTTTAATTGACAAATAATTGTACATATTCATAGGGTACGCAGTGTTTCAATACATATAATGCATAGTGCTGAGAACAGGGTAATTAGCATATCCATAATCTCAAACATTTATCATTACTTTGTGTTGGGAATGTTCACTATCCTCCCTGTAGCTATTTGAAACCATATATTATTGTTAACTACTGTCATTCTACAGTGCTATACTAGAACGTATTTCTCCTACCTAGCTGTGATTTTGTAACCTTGAACAAACCTCTCCTCCTCCCTCTTCTCTCTACCCACCCCAGTTCCTCTTATCCTCTGTTCTACTTTTTACTTCTATGACACCAACTTTTTAAAGTTTCCATGAGTGAGAACATGCGGTATTTAGCTTTCTGTTCCTGACTTATTTCATTTAACATAATTTCCTCCAATTCCATCCATGTTACTGTGAATGACAGGATTTCATTCTTCTTTACGGCTGAAGAGTACCCATTGTGCATATAATCGCACATTTTCTTTATCCACTCATCTGCTATTGGATACCTAGGCTGATTCCGTAACTTGGTTATTGTCAATAGCGCTGCAATAAACATATGGGTGCAATGATGTCTCTTAGATACAATGATTTGTTGTCCTTTCTTTTCAATAAATACCTAGTAGTGGGACTGGTATACCATATATCATACTTTTTTTTTTTTTTTTTGAGTTGGAGTCTCACTCTGTCGCCCAGACTGGAGTGCAGTGGCCGCTCCCAGCCACCTCAACCTCGACCTGCTGGGCTCCGGCGATCCTTCCGCCTCAGCCTTCCAAGTAGCTGGAACTACAGGCATGTAGCACCACTAATTTTTCTTGATTTATTGTAGAGATGAGGTCTCGCCAAGTTGCCCAGGCGGGTCTTGAACTCGCGGGCTCAGGCAATCCACTCACCTCAGCCTCCCAAAGGCGTGGGATTACAGGCTGAGCCACCGAGCCCGGGTTCATATATCATACTTTTTAAAGAAACCTCCATACTCTTCTCCATAGTGGCGGTATTAGTTTACATTTCTACTAACAATACATTCATATATTTGTTGGCCATTTATGTCTTCTTTTGATAAATATCTGTTCAGCTCATTTGCCTATTTTTGTAATCAGTTTTTTTTTCTTTTTTCTGTTGAGATGTCTCAGTTCCTTATATATTCTGGATATTAATCCCCTGTCAGATGAGTACTTTGCAAATATTTTCTTCCATTCTATAAAATATCTCTCTACTCTGTTT